TCTGTCAGAGACGAGACCTTTGTGTCTTATATAATTAACATCAAAACATTATATCCTCAATATCACCTTTATAGCACTGTTAATGCTAGGAAATTTTGATAAATCCCATGATATTGTGTTCATGCAACATCATATTTTCAAGGTATTTTACAGAATACCATAGTATTAGCATGGTACAAAAATCTAATTAATACCATATCCTCAAAACAAACCATCACTCTGGCAACTACTTTGAACAGCTTGAAAACAGATATTTCTATCAACAAACTTACAACTCATTGGCAACCACCAAGCTAAAACCACACGCTTATTGATTAATTCTCGGTATGATATGTGTACTGTTACACCCCTTGTAACAACCACTCAGAACATCATAGAAAACACCCAGCAATACCATAGCAACCATCAAAAACAGCTAGAAAATGAATTATTGTATAAACAAGCTAAAAATGCTCACAACAAACGAATAACCACCTAGCAACACCGTAGAAACCACTCAGAATACCCTAGCAACCACTTAGCAACACCCTAGCAAACCACTCAAAACACATGGTTAACTGTACCAACAAACTAAAAATTCTTGCAGATTGTTAGAAACCACCTAGAACACCCTAGCAACACCCTTGCAACCACTTACATCATCCTTGTGACCACTAGTACGAGCTACTGTATGAATAAACAAACTACCTTAGCAACCACGCAGAACACCCTTGCAACCACTCAGAAAACACTTGTAATTCCATAGCAACCTTTCAGAACAGCTAGAAAATGCATACTTGTATCAAAAAGCCACAAATACTCACAATACATTAACAACCAACTGGCAACACCCTAGCAACACCCTGGCATCCACTCAGAAAACCTTAGCAACCACCCAGAACACCCTTGCAACCACTCAGAAAACACTTGTAATTCCATAGCAACCTTTCAGAACAGCTAGAAAATGCATACTTGTATCAAAAAGCCACAAATACTCACAATACATTAACAACCAACTGGCAACACCCTAGCAACACCCTGGCATCCACTCAGAAAACCTTAGCAACCACCCAGAACTGCTAGAAAATGCATACTTGAATCAAATGCACACAATACATTAGCAACCACCCAGAAAACCCTAGCTACACCCTAGCAACCAACCAGAACCGCTAGAAAATGCATACTTGAATCAACAAACCACAAATGTTCACAATACATTATCAACCACCCAGCAACATCCTAGCAACCACTCAGAACAGCTATAAAATGCAGTCTTTTGTTTACAGCCACCCAGAACACCCTGGCAACCACTCAGAACACCCTAGCAACCACTCAGAACACCCTAGCAACACCCTTGCAACCACTCTGACAAGCTAGAAAATTAATACTTGTATCAACAAGCTATAAATGCTCACAATACATTATCAACCACCCAGCAACATCCTAGCAACCACTCAGAACAACTATAAAATGCATTATTTTGTTTACAGCCACCCAGAACACCCTAGCAACATCCTAGCAACCACTCAGAACACCCTAGCAACCACTCTGACAAGCTAGAAAATGCATACTTGTATCAACAAGCCACAAATACTCACAATACATTAACAACCAACTGGCAACACCCTAGCAATCACCCAGCAACACACTGGCAACCACTCAGAAAACCTTAGCAACCACTCAGAATAGCTAGAAAAATGCATACTTGTGTTAACAAGCTACAAATATTCACAACACATTGGCAACCACCAAGAAACACCCTAGCAACCACTCAAAACAGCTAGAAATGCTTAAATTCACACAATACATTAGCAACCACCCAGAAAATCCTAGCTACACCCTAGCAACCACACAGAACCGCTAGAAAATGCATACTTGTATCAAGAAGCCACAAATGCTCACAATACATTAACAATCAACTGTCAACACCCTAGCAACCACCCAGCAACACCCTGGCAACCACTCAGAAAACCTTAGCAACCACTCAGAATAGCTAGAAAAATGCATACTTGTGTTAACAAGCTACAAATATTCACAACACATTGGCAACCACCAAGAAACACCCTAGCAACCACTCAAAACAGCTAGAAATGCTTAAATTCACACAATACATTAGCAACCACCCAGAAAACCCTAGCTACACCCTAGCAACCACACAGAACCGCTAGAAAATGCATACTTGTCTCAAGAAGCCACAAATGCTCACAATACATTAGCAACCACCCAGAAACTTCCTAGCAACCACTCAGAACACCCTAGCAACATCCTAGCAATCACTCAGAACACCCTAGCAACACCCTTGTTACACTCTGACAAGCTAGAAAATGCATACTTGAATCAACAAGCTATAAATGCTCACGATACATTAGCAACCACCCAGCAACTTCCTAGCAACCACTCAGAACAGCTATAAAATGCATTCTTTTGTTAACAACCACACAGAACACCCTGGCAACCACTCATAACACCCTAGCAACACTCTTACAACCACTCTGAACAGCTAGAAAATGCATACTCGTATCAACAAGCCACAAATACATTAACAACCAACTGACAACACCCTAGCAACCACCCAGCAACACCCTGGCAACCACTCATAACACCCTAGCAACACTCTTACAACAACTCTGAACAGCTAGAAAATGGATACTTGTATCAACAAGCCACAAATACTCACAAATACATTAACAACCAACTGGCAACACCCTGGCAACCACTCAGAAAACCTTAGCAACCAGTCAGAACAGCTATAAAAATGCATACTTGTGTTAACAAGCTACAAATACTCACAACAAATTGGCAACCACATAGAAATACCCTAGCAACCACTCAGAACAGCTAGAAATTGCTTACTTGTATCAAATTCACAAAATACATTAGCAACCACCCAGCAACACCTTAGCAACCACTCAGAACAGCTCAAAAATGCATTCTTTTGTCAACAACCACCCAGAACACCACTGAATCATGGTGGAGAGTTATGCACGGCAAACTTTGACGATGTTCAAAACTGTTCAAGACTTGAGGAGATCATAAGTTGACCTTAGTAACGTGTCCTTCTGTCCTGTATGGAGCGTGAGCTGATGGAGGAGTCCAGCGCACAGCTGTCACTCCTTCACTACACGCACACGTATTTATAGCAGCCACATCACCGCGGCCGGCCGTGTGTCTGCGCACAGCTGCTCTGTACAAATGGGGGGTGATACAGAGCCACACGCCTGGACTTAACTGCGTCCAGGAGTCAGCGGGGCCCAGCAGGCCTTCAGGGGTCCCTGGCATGTGGCGCAGAGAAAGAGGAGCCGCCTCGGAAGTCACGGCTGTGACCTTTTACAGTAAAACGCTCGTGGTGAAAGTCTGGACAGCTGCAGAGAAGCACAGACAAAAGAACAGGAGTGTCAGGAACATCTAATTGCTTTTCCATCTCCACAGCATGCATGAAGACTCCTGCCCTCAGTATCATGATCTATATTAAAAGATTACGCCATCATTTACTCACCTTCATACGTCTGTTTAGCACAGAAGGAGATGCTGAAGTCAGTGTTGATATTCCACACAACTGTGAAATGAAAGAAGTTCTCAAGCTTCACAAAGGATGAAAAAGTATCCTAACAGTAGTCCATACAACTAGTCTGCTATATTCCAGATCTTCTGAAGTCATATGATGCTTTCTGTGAGGAACAGACCCAAATTTGCATCATTTAGAATGACAGGCAGAAGAAGTGCTTGATTTGGTTTGCAGTCAAACTCTCAATATGCTTGATTTAAGAGCTGCATGTTTAATAGTGAGAGCATGTAAAGAATGCAATACCTAAATATTCATGAAAACATGTATTACAGGAAACATTTGAAAACAAAGAGTCATGTGCAGTAAAGAGTGTCTGCTCTTGATTTTTGGGGTTGTTTTAAATTGCAATGGACAGAATCCTTACAAATATGCTGAGAATGTAAAAAAAGAAATGTATACTTTTATTCAGTAAGGATGCATTAAATTGATAAAAAGTCACAGTTAAGACATTTATAATGCTACAAACGATTTCTATTTCAAATAAATGCTGTTCTTTTGAACTTTCTATTCATCTGTGAATCCTGAAAAATAAAATGTATCACGGTTTCCACAAAAATATTGTGCAGCACAACTGTTTTCAACACTGACAATAATCAGAAATGTTTCTTGAGCAGCAAATCAGAATATTAGAATGATTTCTGAAGATCATGTGACACTGAAGACTGGCGTAATGATGCTGAAAATTCAGCTTTGATCACAGAAATAAATTATATTTTAACAGATACTCACATAGAAAACTGTTATTTTAAATGTTAAAAATATTTCAGGTTTTACTGTATTTTTGATCAAATAAATGCAGCCTTGGAGAGCACAAGAGACTTTTCAAAAGCATACTTAAACCCGAACACAAAAACTAAAGTACCATGGCACTTTCTATGCGTGAAACAGCCCAGCTGCTCAAAGCCAAAAGAAGTCGTGTTTGTCTTGTAAGCATTCATGAGGGTTCAGTGTCTGATTGAGCTTAAAGCTTCCAGTTTGCACTGAAGTCTGACTTCAATTTCCCCAAAGTTAGGGAGCATCAAATCTCTGGCTGAAATTAATTGTTGCATTAATAGACTTTAAACAACTTTTATAGACTCCCACTTCATTCTAAAAGAAAAAGCACCATAATTAAAGTTTTAATGATACAATTTTTGCTATGACAGTGAATACGGTCCTGACAGACAAACAGCTGTTCACTGAGAAACTAATGAAGTATTATATTCAGGTGCTGCCCTCTAGTGACAAACACCTGATCACACCACTGTTAACAATGTGCTCGAATGACTAATGCATTTCTGTGTTATATATATATATATATATATA